CATGACAACTCCATAGTCACACATTGGTAGTAGCGGAAACATCATGACAACTCCATAGTTACACATTGGTAGTAGGGGAAACAGCATGACAACTCCATAGTCACACATTGGTAGTAGCGGAAACATCATGACAACTCCATAGTTACACATTGGTAGTAGGGGAAACAGCATGACAACTCCATAGTCACACATTGGTAGTAGCGGAAACATCATGACAACTCCATAGTTACACATTGGTAGTAGGGGAAACAGCATGACAACTCCATAGTCACACATTGGTAGTAGCGGAAACATCATGACAACTCCATAATTACACGTTGGTAGTAGGGGAAACAGCATGACAACTCCATAGTTACATATTGTGATAATGGAAACAGCATGACAACTCCATAGTTACACATTGTGATAATGGAAACATCATGACAACTCCATAGTTACACATTGGTGGTAATGGAAACATCATGACAACTCCATAGTTACACATAGTGATAATGGAAACATCAGGACCACTCCATAGTTACAAATTGGTAGTAGGGAAAACAGCATGACAACTCCATTGTTACACATTGGTAGTAATGGAAACATCATGACAACTCCATAGTTACACATTGGTAGAAGGGAAAACAGCATGACAACTCCATAGTTACACATCAGTAGTAGTGGAACAACATGACAAGTCCTTTGCCAAATATAGTGGAACAATATGACAACTCCTCATTCACACTCAGTAGTGGAACAACATGACAACTCCTTAGTCAAGTGTAATGGAACAATATGACAAGTCCTTTGTCAAGTGTAGTGGAACAACATGACAAGTCCTTTGTCAGGTGTAGTGGAACAACATGACAAGTCCTTTGTCAAGTGTAGTGGAACAACATGACAAGTCCTTTGTCAAGTGTAGTGGAACAACATGACAAGTCCTTTGTCAAGTGTAGTGGAACAACATGACAAGTCCTTTGTCAAGTGTAGTGGAACAACATGACAAGTCCTTTGTCAAGTGTAGTGGAACAACATGACAAGTCCTTTGTCAAGTGTAGTGGAACAACATGACAAGTCCTTTGTCAAGTGTAGTGGAACAACATGACAAGTCCTTTGTCAAGTGTAGTGGAACAACATGACAAGTCCTTTGTCAAGTGTAGTGGAACAACATGACAAGTCCTTTGTCAAGTGTAGTGGAACAACATGACAAGTCCTTTGTCAAGTGTAGTGGAACAACATGACAAGTCCTTTGTCAAGTGTAGTGGAACAACATGACAAGTCCTTTGTCAAGTGTAGTGGAACAACATGACAAGTCCTTTGTCAAGTGTAGTGGAACAACATGACAAGTCCTTTGTCAAGTGTAGTGGAACAACATGACAAGTCCTTTGTCAAGTGTAGTGGAACAACATGACAAGTCCTTTGTCAAGTGTAGTGGAACAACATGACAAGTCCTTTGTCAAGTGTAGTGGAACAACATGACAAGTCCTTTGTCAAGTGTAATGGAACAACATGACAAGTCCTTTGTCAAGTGTAGTGGAACAACATGACAAGTCCTTTGTTAAGTGTAGTGGAACAACATGACAAGTCCTTTGTTAAGTGTAATGGAACAACATGACAAGTCCTTTGTCAAGTGTAGTGGTACAACATGACAACTCCTTTGTCAAGTGTAGTGGTACAACATGACAACTCCTTTGTCAAGTGTAGTGGTACAACATGACAAGTCCTTTGTCAGGTGTAGTGGAACAACATGACAAGTCCTTTGTCAGGTGTAGTGGAACAACATGACAAGTCCTTTGTCAGGTGTAGTGGAACAACATGACAAGTCCTTTGTCAAGTGTAATGGAACAACATGACAAGTCCTTTGTCAAGTGTAGTGGAACAACATGACAACTCCTTAGTTACAATACAGTATTCATGGAACATGACATTTCTCTAGTCACAAACAACTGTAGCAGTGGACAAGTTTCAGTTAGTGGAACATGGCAATAACTCTCCGTAGTCACACAACGGTTAGTGGAATAGCATGATAACCCTTCTTAATCACACAACAGTTAGTCGAACAGCATGATAACCCTCCTTCGTCACACAACCGTTAGTGGAACAGTACAACAACCTTCCTTAGTGACACAACAGTTAGTGGAACAGTACAATAACCTTCCTTAGTCACATAACAGTTAGTGGAACAGTACAATAACCTTCCTTAGTCACACAACAGTTAGAGGAACAGTATGATAGTGGAACAGTATGATAGTTGAACAGTATGATAGTGGAACAGTATGCCAACTGCCTTTAGTCACACCTGACAGTAGTAGTTGAACAACATGACAGCAGCTCTCTGTAATTAGTCACACAACCAACACTATTAGTGAAACAGCATGCAAATTACAGAAAACATCATACCAATAACACAGCTCATGTGATTAGCTGTTAGCAGTACCTAGTAATACAGTATAGGTAAATAATTCCTCTCTCAACTATTTATATATTATTGACATAAGCAATTACTTTCTTGTGACATTAATTTATAAAATAGTGACACAAGTCATTTATTTCCTGTGTTATTATTTATAAAGTGAATTAAGTTATTAGTTTCCCGTTATTTATAAAGTCACTTAAGTTTTAATTTCCTGAATGTTAATTGGATTTTATTTCAAATGTATTTATGATATAATAGCAAGCAAAGTCAGATGGGGATCCAGTATCTCCTGTTAAGGTTTGGGATGCATATATTTTATCCAAATACAACATCCCATTTAATCATGTACACAAATCCAAGGTTTTGTTCACTAATTTCAAAAAACTAAGTTGAGTTCCTATTTACAACCAATACAAAATTGTCTAACAATAATTACTTGATGACACATTTTATACATTATTCTGAGCAAAGAATGGATAATGTGTTTATTACTTAATACTTGTAATACTTTATTTCAGTTCTTGCTGCCAGGTCTGCAAATATTGAGTTTCAGAATGGGACATGTTTTCCCTGTCCTGCAAAGGTTTGGGGGGGGAGAGAGTGGGAGGGCTCAACTTAAGATTATTTCAGAAAAAAATCTGCTCAAATGATTAAGTTTTCGACATACTGTTTACAAAAAAAGGTGTTGAGGTATGTAAGTAGAACTTGTTATGATGTTAAATCACAGACAAACATACTCTTATCAGTATTAGTAGGTTGGTCAGAAGGTAGGTCAGATTGGTTGTCAGGCAGGAGGTCAGGCTCGGGTGAAAGGTCAGGTGGGGTCACAGGCGGGAGGTCAGATGAGGTCACATCCTCCAAATCATGCCCATCCTTTATGCTACCCTCTTCACCTTGTGAGTCCAGTCTATGGTAGGTTCCAGACATACGGGTGCCAACAGGTTCATCATCCACATCAAGGCTGAAATAAAATTATATTGGAAATCAACTTTCAGCCTTCAATAATACTATTCTACATACCAAATCCTTGATCAAGTTTCTGTCTTCAGATAACATACCTAGAACTAAAGACATGTGATTGTCAGTGGCATAGCATACATGCTTGTAAGCTGAAGCCTACACTAAAATTTTCAAGAAGACTTTTTTTAATCTGATATTTCTATTAATGATTAATATGGACGTCCGTCCATATCAATCATAAAAAAGTAAAGAAATAAAAAATAACAATCTTCTTGAAAATTTTATTCCCACCAAACATATTCTCTACCATGTTGTTCTCAGATAATCAGTAAGGGCCCTCAAGTCTTATTTTAGCAAGTAAAAATTTTACTTGTTAATAATCAGACTAAAAGGTATTGGAGAACACCAGAGATTGCTTCTAGGGCCTGGTAGAATATGTTTCCATCTATGTACAGTAAGCATACACTGCCAAAAACGATTTGCTATGCCACTTATTGAAATGTAATTAGAGCCTGTATCAGAGATGTGGGTGTCCCAAAGACTGTCCTTTTGTCCATCCACACTTCCATTTCCGGAGATTATCTTGGAATCCAAAAGACTAACCTTTCTGAAATTTAACATAATGATACACTGTAATAAGTAGATATGTAATAGGAGTTTAAAAGGTCCAAGTCAAGGTCACTGTTATAAAAATAGACCATGGATGTATGGTCAGGCACATGGTGGGGCCCTTGATGACCTGTCAGTTTTCTAGTCTGAAATATGTCCTACAATTAAAAAATATGCCACATGTTCCCTTAGATACATAGGTAGTAGTTAATAGGTACTTCTCCATCTCCTTCTGTATGCCGGCAGTCTGCATCTTGTAGGTATTGGCCAGGTTATCAGCAGAGTACAGACCGATTGGACTGTTGAACTGAGAGTGGACCACATTGGGGATTGGTTTCTTGGGCGACTGGGGACCCTGCCCAAAGGAGCGAGGTGTCCGGTTGTAGCTGCTTCCAATGTGTAGGGGGTCCTGAAACATCACAGTTCAATCATATCAATAATACATTGGTCATCAAAATACTAGGCTAGTGAGACATATACTAAAAACATGTACTTACCCATTTTATTCTCTTAATAAGCTGACGAATGATAACTGGATATTCAATCCCAATACCAATAAGACTTGGTAGTAAACATGGGTTATTACATGTATCATGGTGGTATACACTACACAATTAAATACACACGATGTAGCTGGTTACTCTCCCCACCCATCCCCTACACACTGCCATTGTCTACATACAGGCTGATGTGACCGCGCCAGGGATGTCTTTTGAACAGCTTGCACCTCATCCCCTGTCGCTGTCTTGATGGTTCTCAATTCCTGGGGCCGCAGTTGGGACATTGGCGTCACCTTTGGAGCCCATACAGACACGGCCCCTCTGTAACAAAGTGTGCCTTACATGTCAATTATACTTATCTCGTGTCAAAATAGTACAGATAATATATACAATGGTAACCCATTAGCTTAATCAAACAATCATGAGTGAATTAAGAACAAAGCACACTGGGTATCAATAGTACTAATATTAATATTAGCCGAATGGATCCCCATCGCATTCAGAGGAAGACCATACTGCGCTCCGAATGACTAAATTGGAGGAAATGTGCAGTTTTTAAGTTCTTACTACGTCCCTGTAAGGCTCTCACTAGTCTAAAATGTTCCCAATAATTTTTGATTACCACGTGCATGGTCACGCGCGCACCTCCCTCGACCAATAATATCATAACACGAGCTTAGAGCATCACGTTATCATAAGTTCTGCAAGCTTTCAGTAAAATCTAGGCTCCTTTCTATTCTTTCCCTTTTGCTCTCTTTATAACCAACACAAATGCAGCTTGATCATCTAGTAGCTTAAACAGAACAAGTTGCTGCTCATGATTCTGTGTGTTTTGATTCAAACAGAAGTGATGGATTAACTGGATTAGGACCAGTATTTAAACCCAGTTCTCTGAACGCAACATAGGTGCGGGTATAACCTGTTGCAAGCATGCAATAGACGTTTAAATACCTAAAGAACGTATAATCAACATTACGCAGCGCAAGTGATAAGAGGTGAAAAGTGGTGAGAAGTGATAACTCCATTAACCTTGTAAAAACGTAGTGTAAACCCAGTGATAACCCCATGCAATCGTTCTTGTCCGCGCCACACTTGTACTACGTCAATAAACTCCCTACCAGGCTTTAGTTACGTCGTTATTATCTCAATGCCGTCGTCACTACGTTGATTCGACTCGTATTTTTTACATGTCCAAAGTTCAACAGCGTCCTGCATGACCGCGGAGCCCATACAACGCCCTGATCGGTTTATACTGCGTTCTTTTAATGTTACAAGGTCTTTCTGTTTTCATCCCACTTTTGAGGGAACAAGATAAAAATCAGATATTACGAGGTACAAGTGCAATTAGCATTTAAAATATGTTGTGAAAACAAGAATGTTTTACTGACCTTTGAACTGTCACGTAAATGTCATTTCCCGACCGGATGATATGACATTTCGCATCGTCATGAGTGAGTGTATCCGTGTTGACATCGTTGATGTACAGGACACCATCGCCTGCTCGCAGACCGCTTCTCTCCGCTACGCTGCCGGGTGTCACCTGCCACAATTAACACAAGCTATGACTTCCGCAGTATAAAGGATCGATGGTACAGGTAAAGAGGTGTCACCCACTGCTGTACCATATACACTCAACTGTACCACATACACTCAACTGTACCGTATATCAACTGTACCATATACACTCAACTGTACCGTATATCAACTGTACCACATACACTCAACTGTACCACATACACTCAACTGTACCACATACACTCAACTGTACCGTATATCAACTGTACCATATACACTCAACTATACCACACACACTCAACTGTACCACACACACTCAACTGTACCGTATATCAACTGTACCATATACACTCAACTGTACCGTATNTTAAAGAGGTGTCACCCACTGCTGTACCACATACACTCAACTGTACCGTATATCAACTGTACCACATACACTCAACTGTACCGTATATCAACTGTACCCCTACATTTCTCATGGTTCCATAGAAATTCGAAAAGCTTCCAACACATTTGACAGTTGCGAAGTTAAAAACGGTTTAAGCTACACAACTGCTATATATTTGAACAGGTTGAGACAAACTACTGTAAGGAATCATAATGGGTTTACCGTACTATAACGTTGAAATCGTATAACTTTTGTTTCCAAAGAGGAACGGACCACATTTGCTTGGACCGATTTTAAGACTGCGGTATTGGTAAAACTGCAAACGTTATATTTAAATTTCGCAAGGACTGAGGGATATTTTTTTGTACAGGGACCGAACACTTGGATGGAGACATGACGCGTGGAAGGAGATCCGACAAGTGGAAGGAGACTTGACATTTTGTAGAACACCTGAATATCGGGAGAACATCAGACACGTAGACGGAAAACTGACACTTCGACGAAGACACGACACTGTATGGAGACCTAACACGTGCACGAAAACCTGACACTAGGGAGAAGACCTAACACGTGCACGAAGACCGGACACGAGGGAGAAGACCTAAAAAGCGGACGAAGACCAGACACTATAGGGAGAAGGCCTAACACGTGTCCGAGGACCTGACACTGGCGAGAAGACCTAACACATGCACGAAAACCTGACACTAGGGAGAAGACCTGCCATTAGGGAGAAGACCTGCCATTAGGGAGAAGACCCAGAGTAGACCTAACACGTGCGCGAAGACCTGACACTAGGGAGAGGACCTAACAGGTGGACGAAAACCTGACACTAGGGAGAAGACATAACACGTGGACGAAGACCTGACAATACAGGGAGAAGCCCTAACAAGCGGACGAAGACCAGACACTTTAGGGAGAAGACCTATCGCGTGCACGAGGACCTGACACTAGGGAGAGGACCTAACACGTGAACGAGGATCTGATACCAGGGAGAAGACCTAAAACGTGAACGAAGACCTGATACCAGGGAGAAGACCTAACCCGTGCACGAATCCCTGCCACTAGGTAGAACACCTAACATGTGGATGAGCACCTGACACTGGGGAGAAGCCCAAACAAGCGGACAAAGCCCTGACACTAGGAAGAAGACCTAACCCGGGGACAAAGCCCTGCCACTAGGTAGAACACCTAACATGTGGATGAGCACCTGACACTGGGGAGAAGACCTAACATGTGGACGAGGACCTGACACTGGCGAGAAGACCTAACACGTGAACGAAGCCCTGACTCTAGGGAGAGGACCTAACAGGTGGACGAAGACCTGACACTAGGGAGAAGACCTAGAGTAGACCTAACACGTGCACAAATCCCTGCCACTAGGTAGAAGACCTAACATGTGGACGAGGACCTGACACTGGCGAGAAGACCTAACACATGCGCGAAGCCCTGACACTAGGAAGAAGACCTAACCCGTGCACGAATCCCTGCCACTAGGTAGAACACCTAACATGTGGATGAGGACCTGACATTATAAAAGGGAGAAGACCTAAAAAGCGGACGAAGACCTGACACTAGGGAGAGGACCTAACAGGTGGACGAAAACCTGACACTAGGGAGAGGACCTAACACGTGAACGAGGATCTGATACCAGGGAGAAGACCTGAGATTAGGGAGAAGACCTATCGCGTGCACGAGGACCTGACACTATAGGGAGAAGGCCTAACACGTGTCCGAGGACCTGACACTAGGGAGAAGACCTGACATTAGGGAGAAGACCTAACAAGCGGACGAAGACCAGACACTATAGGGAGAAGACCTAACACGTGGACGAGGACCTGACACTATAGGGAGAAGACCTAACACGTAGACGAAGACCTGACAATACAGGGAGAAGACCTAACACGTGAACGAAGATCTGATACCAGGGAGAAGACCTAACACGTGAACGAAGACCTGACACTAGGGAGAAGACATAACACGTGGATGAGGACCTGACACTATAAACGGGAGAAGACCTAACACATGAACGAAGACCTGACACTAGGGAGAAGACCTAACACGTGGACGAAGACCTGACTCTAGGAAGAAGACCTAACATGTGGACGAAGACCTGACACTAGGGAGAAGACCTAACACGTGGACGAAAACCTGACTCTAGAGAGAAGACATAAAACGTGGACGAAAACCTGACTCTAGGGAGAAGACCTAACACGTTTACGAAGACCTGACTCTAGGGAGAAGACCTAACACGTGGACGAAAACCTGACTCTAGGGAGAAGACCTAAAACGTGGACGAAAACCGGACTCTAGGGAGAAGACCTAAAACGTGGACGAAAACCTGACTCTAGGGAGAAGATCTAACACGTAGACGAAGACCTAACACGTGGACGAAGACCTGACTCTAGGGAGAAGACCTAACACGTGGACGAAGACCTGACTCTAGGGAGAAGACCTAACACGTGGACGAAAACCTGACTCTGGGGAGAAGACCTAAAACGTGGACGAAAACCTGACTCTAGGGAGAAGACCTAAAACGTGGACGAAAACCTGACTCTAGGGAGAAGATCTAACACGTAGACGAAGACCTAACACGTGGACGAAGACCTGACTCTAGGGAGAAGACCTAACACGTGGACGAAGACCTGACTCTAGGGAGAAGACCTAACACGTGGACGAAAACCTGACTCTGGGGAGAAGACCTAAAACGTGGACGAAAACCTGACTCTAGGGAGAAGACCTAAAACGTGGACGAAAACCTGACTCTAGGGAGAAGATCTAACACGTAGACGAAGACCTAACACGTGGACGAAGACCTGACTCTAGGGAGAAGACCTAACACGTGGACGAAGNTGTGGATGAGGACCTGACATTATAAAAGGGAGAAGACCTAACACGTGAACGAAGACCTGACACTAGGGAGAAGATCTAACACGTGCACGAAGACCTGACACTAGGGAGAAGACCTAACATGTGGATGAGGACCTGACACTGGGGAGAAGACCTAACACGTGGACGAAGACCTGACTCTAGGGAGAAGGCCTAACACGTGGACGAAAACCTGACACTAGGGAGAAGACCTAACACGTGGACGAAAACCTGACTCTAGGGAGAGGACCTAACACGTGAACGAAGACCTGACTCTAGGGAGAAGACCTAACACGTGGACGAAAGCCTGACACTAGGGAGAAGACCTAACACGTGGACTAAAACCTGACTCTAGGGAGAAGACCTAACACGTGGACGAAAACCTGACTCTAGGGAGAAGACCTAACATGTGGACGAAAACCTGACTCTAGGGAGAAGACCTAGCACGTGGACGAAAACCTGACTCTAGGGAGAAGACCTAACACGTGGACGAAAACCTGACTCTAGGGAGAAGACCTAACACGTAGACGAAGACCTGACACTAGGGAGAAGACCTAACAAGCGGACGAAGACCTGACACTATAAAAAGGAGAAGATCTAACACTCGAGAGAAGATCAGACATGTGGACGGACACCAGATTCTGGAAACCTGATACTCGGAATGAGACAAGCCACCTGAATGGAGACATGGCACGCGGACGGATACCCAACACTTTGATTGAGACAAGACACCTGGATTGAGACAAACCACCTGGATTGAGACAAACCACCTAGATTGAGACAAACCACCTAGATTGAGACAAGACACTTGAATGGAGACCTAACACGTGGACGGATTCCTGACACGTGGACTGATACCTGACACGTGGACGGATACCTGACACCTGGATTGAGACAAGACACCTGAATGGAGACTGGCACGTGGACGGATACCTGACACTTGGATTGAGACAAGATACCTGAATGGAGACATTGGACGCGGACGGATACCCGATACTTGCATGCAGACCTGACATGTGGACGGAGACCTGAAACTTAGGTAGATATCTTGCATTCGACGGATACCTGACACCTGGACTGAGACAAGACACCTGAATGGAGACATTGGACGCGGACGGATACCCAACACCTGGATTGAGACAAGACACCTGAATGGAGACCTGGCACGTGAATGGATACCTGACACTTACATTGAGACAAGACACCTGAATGGAGACATGGCACGTGGACGGATACCTGACACTTAGATTGAGACAAGACATCTGAATGGAGACCTGGCACGTGGACGGATACCTGACACTTAGATTGAGACAAGACACCTGAATGGAGACCTGGCACATGGACGGATACCTGAGACTTAGATTGAGACAAGACACCTGAATGGAGACAATGGACGCGGACGGATACCTGACACTTAGATTTAGACAAGACACCTGAATGGAGACCTGGCACGTGGACAGATACCCGACACCTGGATTTAGACAAGACACCTGAATGGTGACCTGGCACGTGGACGGATACCCGACACTTAGATTGAGACAAGACGCCTGAATGGAGACCTGGCACGCGGACGGATACCCGACACTTGGATTGAGACAAGACACCTGAAAGGAGACCTGGCACGTGGACGGGTACCCGACACTTAGATTGAGACAAGACACCTGAATGGAGACCTGGCACGTGGACGGATACCTGACACTTTCATTGAGACAAGACACCTAAATGGAGATCTGGCACGTGGACGGATACCCGACACCTGGATTGAGACAAGA